TAGCTCCGGTAGTTAAACAGACTAAAGAAATTTTAAGTAAAGAAACTAGTGCTTAAGATCAATTAGGAAAAAAGAACAAAATAAATAATAGGTAATAATAATGAATAAATATTGAATGTATTTAACACTGTACGCAACTGTACCGAAATCGTAAGGTGTATTACACTAAACATTTTAAAAGACAGCGCAATGTACTGGGTGATCGCTTTTATGTAACCACCTAAACATGGTCGGGTTACCACGGTCTTGCACCTTCTAATGACTTTTATTTAATTATCTCGTAAATTATTATATGTACGACGCTGAAATTTTACAGGTAGACAACTGAACTAAACAACTAATTATTGGCATAACATTCAGTTTATATATCCCCACACAGGTTTATCGGTGGCCAAAAAAGGCCGCACACATTGTGATCGTGAACGTGGAGAGCTATATTTCATCACAACTTTTTAGCCACTTACAGTATACTTACGAAAATTCGTATACATTTGAAGGTAGTTACAAGCAATAGAATAACGTTTGAAGTAAGTCTTTAGAGGTCTTATTCAAAGTGTTAGGACGTATTGAAGTGTTTTCATACTTACCTAAATAATTTTTAAACGGTCCATTATTTTTGTTATTTTACTGCCGAACAAATTAAAACTAATCCTTAAGAAGTTATGTACAAAAGATGGTTACAATCCGCTTACCCGTTTCAGAGATCCAGCAAACCCACAAACGTTACTCCAGCAGGATCTCGAATAACTTCGCAGCCGAAGAAAATACAAATACCAAATAAATTGTAACATTTACCTAGTCCAGATAACTAATTATTTAGCTAAAATTTATTTCAATATTACAATTAAAAAAGAAAATGTCTGGCTGCGGTAACGTTTCAAACGTTACCCCAGCAGGAAATGTTTTTTTGAAATAACTAAAAAAGTTTAAGAGAAACAAATTTAAAAATGTGCCTAACAATTACACAAGGGGAGCAACTAATTATCTATAACGTTTAAATGACCATTTTCGACATTATTTTGCTGGGGTAACGCACACATCGAAAACTATAACACGTTGCAATACTATCGGAAGAAACAGCTGCCCACGCAATCCTGGAACGCGAGGGAGTTGCCACAACGGACTAGTATCATACCTGATCAAGTATCGCTCTTAGAAGCCTGGGAACATCTGGAAGGAGTTTGGTTTTATCACCTAGCCAACCTTACCCTTTGACGCATAAAGGACCCTTCTTGAGTCTAAATGTGGGAACCGGACCCTACAACCAATACCCAATATTTTGTAGATCTTTTTAAGATATACCATTCCGTAGTACATTATTTTGATCTATCTCGAAAGGTTTAGCGAGCGTTTGCAATGTAAGCGCACGAAAACAACTTTACACTACAAACCTTGGAAATTCTCAGCTTTTGTCTTATATAATATTCATTTATTTATACGTATGCACATTAGGTGCATTGGTGGACTTAGGGGGCGTCCATTACTAACGTGAGGAGTTTTTGGCGATTTTCTGACCCCCCCTGGTAAAATGTGAGATTTGATTCAAGCCCATCCCACCAAGAAGTAGGTGCATTCTGGTAACAGTTAATTTTATATTAACCTAAGCAATTTAAACTGAATACAAATTCAAATATTTATACAAATATAAACCCATGATATACTACACCTATACATATTACACATTACCCATGTGTAATATGTATAGGTGTAGTATAACGTACATACATAACGATACATAAATACACAAATACAAAAATAAAAAAATAAAAAATACAAAAGTATATAGATACTAATAACAATTTGAAATAAAAAAAAATCACGAGCAAGTTGATTCTGCCAGTTTGACCAGATACTCCTTTACTTTTACTGCGAAAACGCATTCCAAAGAGTTATTTAGAATAGTGAATAGGACAGCGAGAGCGCGTAATTTACGACGTGGACTAATGGGTAACCAGTTAAAATGCGACCGGAAAGATAACACATGGTCAAATTTACGGAGGTTAAAGATGTATCGAATGTAGTTATTGAGAAGACGGTCCAACTTATCGAGAAGATCTGCATTCAGGTCGTAACAGCACACGTCAGTCACGTCACCATAGTCGATTATTCAGGCGATATTGTGCTTGAAGAGTTCCAGTAGCCGTCTGGTACTGATTCGCAACTGGACCACACCAATCCAGTGTAAAGTCGAGGTGCGAGCAAAAATCTTTAACAAATAACAAACAAACAGGTATGATACAACCGTTAAAAATAACAGCTGGCAGCGTCTTAATATCTACTCTGCTCATCAATCAGTGACTTGTCAGACCATGCCTTAATTGCTTCCAAGTTTATATATACTGTATCTATTACCATATTACCGTATATGAATATTACCTGCGCCTCTATTTATAAAGTAAGGTTGAAGATATCTTAATATCTATATTGAGATATTTTCAACCTTACTTTGTGAATAGAGTCTCAGGTAATTTGCATGTATTTTACATATGAACCCGCCTCTTGAAATTACTCACTCTATTGGTGAAAACCGCGTTAAAATCTGTTGCTTAGTCTAAAAGATGTAAACCAGCCTCATCTTAAAATATTTTTAACAACTACAAAGAAAATGACCGACGATGGATAATTTCTAAATATCTCATTTAATAAAAACCTTAAAAACGCATACTTGAATGGTTTGACATGTTTCACAAAATGAACAGCTACTTTTTATTTCTTAGTCATCAATACCTATCATCAGAACTGGAACGCAATAAAAAAAACTGACTGACTGACTGCACGGATGGCGTACCTATAAAAAAAAAAAAAAAAAAAATTATAGTAGTTTAAACGGTTACTTCGCCAAGTGTTGTCCCATGTTTGAATCGAACCCACAAGGTTCGATTCCCACATGGGAAAACACTTTGTGTGATCCACAAATTGTTGTTCTGAGTCTGAGTGTTCTTTGTGTCCGTTTCATGTATGTTTGTAAAGTCCTCTGTGACACAGGATAAATTTTTAGTGATGGAATTGTCCTTTAAAACGAAATAAATGAAAAAAAAAATACCCAATAAAATGGTCAAAGTTTAGAATAAGTACCTAATACAAGTAATGTCGGTCTGTTGATTACATAATTGTGCCATCAACCGATTTCCTAGTTCTATTTTTACTTATAAATATGAAAGTTAGTTTATTTGTTCATTACGATTATATTCCTCACTAGTGTTAGCTTAATTGTCAATTACTAATCATTCACTCGACTTTTCACGTATTTACAATTACTAATTACTCAACTTATTTATTCGAAAAATTATGCATCATAATTACGGTCTTGTTTACAAAAAAAAGCAAATATATCTAAATTAATTGGTAGGGTAGTTTAATTAATGTCCCAAGTATTCCACTAGAGCACTCGCTACTATTGCTCAAGTCCTAGACAAGGACATACTAGGGTCCAGTTCAATCAGTGTGTATAGGTATGGTAAGTCGTACCATACCTATACACACTTGTCTTTCCTGTTCTAGTGGTATGCCAAAATCTATGTTCACACCGTCAAAAACTGTTATCACGCTGAAAAGACAACAGTTGATGGTTAAGAACTAAAAACTATAACTATGGTTCTTTATAAATATCTAGGTATGTACCAAAAGTTTTTATGTAAGTAAATATGTATAGTATATTGTGTATGTAGGCTAATAAGATTTCTTAATGAAACTATGTTGCCAAACGGACACAAACGACCCGTCGCTGCACTTAATGGTAATTACTCTACTCAAACAGTAGGAAAATCATTCGCACAAAACGATGATGTTCCTTGTGTTGTCAGCCCTATTCTTAACCATTAAAACTATTTTTACGGTTCGGAAAGTACAAACTAAAGATGAATTAATTTTATTTGAATATGCATTAGCTAATCATCATCCGAGAAAATCCGTAAACGTGTATAACTTTAAACTAAATACTTCTAAGCCAAACTAAATAGTTTACCAAATTACGATAAAATTGAAAAATTAACGGAACATACCGGTTTTCTCACTAGCCGGGCGTGGTGTAGTGCGGCTGCGCGACATTCGCATTTTCTTGAATGAAGTGAGTGAGTAATGGGATGCACTTGTTATTGTATTTGAATTTATTTTTTTAAAGAATTTACACAAAATACAGTAAACATTTGAGCTTTATAAAATTAAAGTGCAATTATGAGTATAAGTTATCGTGTTATGTGCATTTAAACAGTAAAATAATCCGAGAGCATCCATGGGCGTTAACTCCAGGTTAAGAAAATTGTAACGATATTATTAAATAAAAATTAAGGCTAATCAAGTATTAAACTATTTATTTAGTTATCTATTCACCTGTTGATTTAGTTAGAAACAAAGTGTTACATAATTTAATTGAACTTTAAAACTGACAAAGAATCGGTGTTTACGTTAAGTAACGAATGTTCAACAATTCGAATATAGAATTAATTTATTTTTAAATGTTATATCTTTCTTTGTTTTACATTGTCATATTTTAGACATAACAAGTGGTTGACGAAAATGATTCTAATTTATAGTCATAGATTATAAGCAAAACCTATCAGAATATAATAAGAACGTTTACAAGTGTAACAACTTCAATGCTCTTGTTGCGTCTATACAGATTTTTGTAATACAACATTACGCATTAAAAATAAATTAAAAATATTATTCTTTAGTATTTATAAGAGTCCTAGAATCATTCTAGTGATTGCAAAATTACGAATATAGGAAATTCTTTAACAGCAATCTGACAACAATTGAATGTATTATCATTAAAAAATAATTTGAGTATTATTTTATTTTCATATTTAAGTTATAATATCCTCTAGTTTTCTAAGATATGGAAAAAAAAAACATTTTTAGAGCAACTCATAACTACTGTAATATTCAGAAAATAATAATAAAAATATAATAGAAAACTTTTCCACACATGAATATTCATGTGTGGAATAGTTTTCTAACTACATGTTTACTTGCAGGCAGTGTAAATCAAAGACTGAATGATGAATCTCATAATCCCAACATATATACTATTAATAGCAGTATTGCAGTTATGTACATCACAAGACTATTCACAATCTACATACAAACCAGATGTAAGTTCACCAAGCTCTACAAATGATTACCTAAACAATGACCCTAGGTACGATAACCCATATGACCCTAATAAAAGGTACCAAAACCGAAATCAAAACCCTTATGATGTGAACCGTAACCCATATGACCCAAATCGGAGTCAGTATGATAAAGACCAAAGATACAACCAGTTTGAGAACAGGAGCCCTGATTTGAATTACAACCAGAATCAGTATAGTTCTGAGAATACTCCAAGACCTTCATGGGACAGTGGAAGAACTTACAGCACTTCATTTAAAGGTGCAGCATTGGAACATGACAGTGTCATCATCAATGAGGCGTAAGTTTCTTTTTTTAATACAAGAAACAGGGACTGCATGTTTTCTCATAGTGGACTTAGATAAAATTGCTGGTCAAGAGGCTATTTTTTGACCCAGAACAAACTAGTGCATGATGAGTAAGATCATTTGGAAGTGTGCACATGTTTGTGTCTGGGTGTTATTTATCTATAACATGTATGTATTTAGTAATATGATTGTCAGTAGTCTGGTTACCATAGTGTGGGCTCTAATTAGTTTGGGACCACACTAACTTTTAAACTATTTTCATTATATATAATTATGTTTATGGGAATTAAATGCTCATGAAAGGTATTATTTATATTTGTACTTTGAATTGCTTGATGTTCTAGGATCAAATGGCTATCGGCATTACTTGACCTCGGTAATCATTTTTATAAATGTTTTGCTGTAATGTTATCTAGGCAACTACTAATGGTTTTCTAAGTGCACATAGTATAATACACATTGACAGTTGCATAGTATTTTATAACATTACTAGCTGACCCGCGCAACTTCGTCTGCGTCTCTCAATAGTAATAAATTTTCTCCGTTTTTGAAACATTCTTCATTGGTGCTCCGCTCCTATTGGTCTTAGCGTGATGATATATAGCCTATAGCCTTCCTCGATAAATGGGCTATCTAACACTGAAATAATTTTTCAAATCGGACCAGTAGTTCCTGAGATTAGCGCGTTCAAACAAACAAACAAACTCTTCAGCTTTATAATATTAGTATAGATGTAAAAAACACAAATCTACATTCATTAGCAATATATTCTCTATGATAGTCTAGCCTTGTTAAATGTTTCCACTCTATTATCAACCAAACTACTGTTTTTATTACTATGAGTAAAGATAATACGTTGTAACTGTTTACACTCTGAGGAAAATTTATATACATATAAATTTTATTTTGATTAAAACATGAAAAAATGTATTCTTGTATGTTACATTGTTATATTTATATTATTTCACTGCTTTTTCTTATTTCTTCTCTTTTTGTATTTCTTTAAAGGTCTTTTTGTTCACTTTAAAATTCTCAACCCTTTGGTTGCACCTTGTAGTGCACCTTTTCATTAATTTCCACACTACTCTATGGTAGACTGGTAGAGAATGCTTATGGCATTAAGTCCACCATTGAACATTATGTGCACAAAGTTTTATGCCAGTGCAAAGTTCGTTTTATATTATTTTTTTCCACCAAGTCAGTAATACAGAATGTGTTACTGTAACATGCTTGACAATCTTGCAGGACATATTTTATTGTGGCATCCAAAATGGTAAGACCAGGCCAAATTTACAAGATATCAGCTAATATACTCCAAGCTCGTCTGCAGATGACCATTAGGGCTTCCATCTCTTGTAATGGGGTTGAGATTGCTGATGTAAGCCAAGAAGTCAAAGAAGGAGTACCGGAAATATTAAATATGAGGGTGAGTATCACTAAAAAGTAGCCTATGTCACTCTCTGATAATGTTCTTCACTAATTTATATCTCCCTCTCAACTTCCGTTCGCCTCGCCCGATCACACGTTTCGTAACGCATTCACCAGCTTACTCCCCAAGTCAAGCGTGCGTAAAGGTTTTACTTCAAAAATATCTGAAATTGTCTCTTATCTAGAGCCTATAGTTATAGATCAACAAACACAATAGCAACAATTTGTCCTGTCTTACTCTGAGATTGGATGGGATATCTTTATTCCTCTCATTTGTTTCCTCCCCAATTTTCATACCTCTTTGACCCCTTGCACCTTACTACGAAGGACCAAAGTTTCACTTATACCATTGATGTAATAAACAAGCACATTAACCTATGAACACTTGTTTATTTTTTTATGTTAGAGGGGACAGACGAGCAGACGGGTCACCTGATGGAAAGTGACCATCGCCGCCATTGAACGTCTGCAACTCAAGAGTCATAAACGCGTTTTTTTCGTACTCTTAATACCAATTCTTTATTGAACTTTCCATTTTGCCAAGCCAAAATTTATCTTTATCCTTTCATAATTAAGGTTTACATTTTGACGACCACAGACCAATATCCAACATTATCGAACAGGTACCCGCGACAACAGTGCCAGGTGATTATAAGTTACGTGTCGAAGGCTTGTACTTAGACACGCCCTTCGGTGGTCGCGCTTTCGTCAACGAGACTCAGCTGACATTTTCTAAAAGATTCATGACAATCTTCATACAAATGGACAAGCCCGTCTATATGCAAGGCCAGACAGGTAAGTTTACTTAGAAGTATTAATTAGCTTTAAAGAACTCTGTGAATGTCAGAACATATTTTTGACTGTAGTTTACAACACAAACTAAGGTGTTATTACTGGGCAATTTTTTTTTCTTTTTTAAAAAGACAACTCCCGCTCTAGGAATAAATTCTTTACAAACATACATGAAACAGACACAAACAACACCCAGACTCAGAACAACAATTTATGGATCACACAAAGTGTCGTCCCATGTGGGTATCGGACCCACAACACTTAGCGTAGTAGTAAGCGGTGTGGCGACCGCATAAACCAATATTATGCTAGTGTGCACTGGCTTTATTATATTTTCATTTTATTATTTACAAAACATCCTTTATCCTTTGTAAATCGTGTGAATGTGTGCAATTTAAAGCCCACTCTTAAAACATGCAACACGACTGGCCTGTTGGCTTAGCGGTCAGTGACCCTGACTGTTAGGTACACCCATGATAAATAATTGTGTGATGAGCACGATCATTTCAGTCTGGGTGTAATTTATCTATAATATGCATGTATTTAGAATTATATAAGTATGTTTATCAGCAGTCTGGTACCATAGATTAGGATCTGCCTAGTTTGGGATTCGACGGCGGTGTGTCAGATGTGACATCATTATTATTATACAAAAAAGTTTAAAATAATTTATCTCCTTGGCTCTAATTATACACCTGCCACACCATCTTTGCATCACCCAAGGGTTGACTGGATGAAAATGCCTATGGCATTAAGTCCGCCTTATGCAATGTATTTGTAGAAAGTATAAAATAAATAAAAAGTGAGAATTCTTAAAGTGTGTTTTTTTATTGGTGTTGTAAGGTCTATATTAGTTTGTTGATCTATATACGCTTAGTTCAATGAACTTTGTATGTTGCAGTACGTTTCCGTGTCATACCTATCAATATTGAGCTGAAAGCATTTGGGCGAGCTATCGACGTGTACGTCCTTGACCCCAACCGACGCATCATGAAGAGATGGCTCTCCAGACAGGTCGGTATTTTCCACATCTAAACTTATATTTCCCGAACTGACTTATTTATAAATGCATAGCCTAAACTACTTGAGCTACGAACTTCTTTTGGAAACTGATGGTCTTTATATTGTAAGCACTTACTAAGATAGGATTTCAAAATTTCACACCTAAAGGGTAAAATAAGGGATGAACGGTTATACGGAAGTTCGGTTATTTTCAAAGTTAAGCAAGAAATAATCACGAAAGCGAATCGGCAATAGCTAGCATACAAATATAGCTTCAGGAACTTGACAATATAATTTTTGTAAAATGTTATTGGTATAAACAGAAAATACTACTTTTTAATCCCTGACGGAAAACAAATGGTGTTGTAAGTTTAAGCTGTCTATCCACATATCTGTGTATCTGTCTGTGGCATCATAGCTCCCGAACGGATGGACCAATTTTGTTTCGGAAGCCGATGAGATCGAGATGGTTCTTGGATATAAATTTTGAAGATCTTCAGCTCACTTCCTAGGTGATAAAGGGATCTCATTAAAATCTATAGGTCTGATTGATCCAAAATTTGGTATACTGTTACTTTGATGGTATTTACACGACATGGTAACCTGGGACTTGCTGCTGCATCAAGTAGTCTGCGGAATAGCCAACTCCTCAGAAAATTACAGCACATATACCATGTTTGGGCTTTATACCATTTTTATTTGGGTCGGGGTTTTGTTTAATATTGTGTTATTAGTGAGGGAATTTTACCATATTCTTCAGAGTACAAAGTCATTCCTGTCAGACATAGTCAATATCAGGCCAAATACATACACAATGACACAATTTATGATCTATTGTGACAAGAGACTTGATCTGTTTGGTTGCGACATTCGAGTGTTGTACGCTTTTGTAATGGCAGTTATTGTAAATGGAGATTTCTTGAGCGCTGCGACGTATTGATAAATTGCATGAAATAAATATCCAACAGAAAAAAAATGAAAATGAAATAAAAATAGATGTATTCAAAGCATTTGGAAATATGTTTAATAAAATCAACATAAACATTTTAACATTGTCCAGCAGTGGACTATTAAAGGCTGTTGATGATGAAACATTTTAAAAATTATATGTTTGTTCTATTTTTGTATTAAGTTAAGGTTATCCAAAATATTTTAATAAATATTCGTTATCACTGATTGTAATTAGGAATTTTACAAATATGTCGCATTAAACCTCTAAATTTGTGGATCAAGTGCTGCTCCGTGCAGTCAGAAGTGGTTATAAGTTTTAAGTACAAAACAAGTAAAATACATTCATTTTACGAAATTGTGATAATAAGGAACAAGCTTATTGAAGTTTCGGAAATAGATGTCAATATTGAGAGCATTGTCCATGTGGTGACGGATTAAGAATACGGAGTGTCACCACCCCTATTCATCCCGTGGGTGTCGTAAGAGGACGCAGGACAACAGATCTGCAAAGAGAAAAAGAGAAGGAAAACTTGATGCAAACCCTATAATTACCCGCCTCGTCCAGTAACACGATAGGCCTGTAGGCCGCGACCGAATTGGCAGGCAACTGAAACAAACCCTTTTTTTTTTTTTTTTTTTTTTTTTTAACGTGTGGAAATCCCCTCGGACCGTCACCCCTCCGGGGTTTGCGGCGGGGTGGTGTGTCGGACTCGGACCGACTAAAACCACACGGTGTGCCACTCTGCGCCTGTAACAGGAGGGATCCGGGAACAGCTGTTGTTAAGACATCCGGACCCCTCCTAGCGCCAGCCCGCTCCAGGTGCGGGCTCCGTCTCGATGTTTTTCCTCTCTTTATAGGCGACGTCCGGCACACGCGGACGCTGCCCCCTCGCGGCTGGCCAAACTAATGCGGGTGGAGGGGAAACCCACCCCGTCCACCCGCGGCCACACTCAGGGCGGCATGAGGCTGTGGTAGGCGGGCCTCCGCCGCCCGGTTCGCCGGCGGCGGATCGGGTCCGAGTGGAGGTCGTCCTCCCGGGCCCTCTCCGCCGCCTCCTTCCGCGAGATTACTACCTCGCAGAAGGTTGCGACCGCGGTAAAACAACTGTCGCTACCGGCCATGGAGCGTACTACGGCCGGTAGCGAGAGATCCACTCCGATGACTGCAGTGAGGGCCCGGCGCTGCGCCGCCCATGCGGGGCAGACCGCCAGCGTGTGCTGGGCCGAGTCCTCACTGCAGTCGCAGTGGTGGCAGGCGGGACTCAGTTCCCTCCTAGCGACCGTGTGCAGGTACTTTCCGAAGCAACCGTGCCCGGAAAGCACCTGCGTCAGTCGGAAGGAAAGGGTCCCGTGCTGCCGCCCTGCCCACTCGGCGATGACCGGCTGGAGAGCCTCCACGGCGGCGAAGCCAGCGCGTGGAGTCTCCAGCCGGAACGACCAACGAGCCATCGTGGCTCGGCGAGCGGCTTCGCGCCACTCGCGCACATCCTCGGGCGGAGGGCGAAATCCGCTCTCCGCCCGGGAGTCAGCCACTCGCCGATAAACTGAAACAAACCCTACACCAACCCGTCTGGTCGTCTGGTATAGTAGGCCAAAACCTCCTTTCTAAGGAGAGGCCGATGTCCAGCAGTGAACTATTAAAGGCTCTTGATGTGGGACGTGATTGAGAGCATATTGAAAGCATAAATCAAGGAATTGTGAAAAATGAAATAATTGTGAAAGGGATAATGATAATACCTACGTAGGGATTGGGGAGTGATAGTGGCTTCAGCACGTCATGGTTGGGGATGTCCGAGCACTTGAGACTTCGTTCAAAATATATTGTAGTGATTAGTTTCATTAATTTAAAAACACACGCGCAGACTCGCAAATTCACACACACACCCACATAGCTCCAACTTAAACTTAATTAATTAAATATAGATTTGAGTAAAATGTGATCTCTTTCAATTATTTTGTATTAGATTTATAAGAATTCAAATATTCATCAACATCATCATCAACAGCCTTTAATAGTCCACTGCTGGACATAGCCCTCTCCTTAGAAAGGAGGTTTTTGCCTACTAATTAAAATATTATATTATTATTACTACTGTCCAAATGATTATTCGCTTTTGTATTGATAGCGTTAGATACAGGCTTAGCCTAGTGTGGCTATCATTGTTAAACAAATTATGTAAATCTGGACTTAATTATTAATTAATGATATATTTGTAATAACTTTGAAAAATTTAGGTGCAAAGGTTAAGCACTATTATTAATTTGTTGTGTTTATTTCTTTGTAAACGCAGAGTAACTTCGGCACAGTAAGTCTGCAGTACCAGATGTCGGATCAGCCGCTGTTCGGCGAGTGGTACATCCGCGTGGAGGCGCTCGGACAAATTGAAGAGACACAGTTCCTTGTTGAGGAGTACTATCAGACCAGATATGAGGTTTGTACTTCTCTCATCGCAGGGTCACGCATAGTCCCGGTGTAACAGTATGGTGCCGAGTTTTAAGTTTACAGTTCTGTTTCTTTTCATATTTTTTTATTATCACATTTATTGGTGAACTGTTGAAAGATTTCTTTTTTTTTATTGGCAAAAGGCAACTCCTGAATATATCTTTACAATAATGAAACGGACACAACGAGGGTTTAATATTACGTTGCAACTCGAACAAACATATCTATACAACATTTCATGTAAATATTATTGAACATTGCTAACTTACATAAGGTTTCAGGTTAAAGTTTAACATCAACAAACTAAGTACTTTTCCATAAATAATCTTTAAAATGTTCGAACAGGTTAACGTAACTATGCCAGCGTTCTTCTTCAACACGGACCAGTTCATCTACGGCCGCATCATGGCAAACTACACATCCGGGGCTCCGGTGCGAGGCAACCTGACTCTTAAGGCCACCGTGCGTCCCATACCGCAGTACAGACCCCGGTATTATACACAAGGGCAATTTAATAACAGGGGGCAGTTTGGTATACCCTCTGGGTATGGACAAAACCAGTACACTAGAGGTGAGATATTGTATGTAAAAAAATGTACGTATGTATGTAGCTCAGGTTTTTCTTGTATTCATTACAAGAAAAACCTGAGCTGATCTGCAGCATTAAGTTAAATATAGACACTTGCCTTCCCTCAGACAGAGATAGAGATAAAATCTACGAAAATGGAAGAGATGTACTATTGTACATTATCGCTATTGAGTATAATCTGAGAAAGATAGATAATTTCACATGTTTTGCGTAATCTGGGCATTAAATCTTGTCATTAAACATTAAGCCAATCGGTTAGATAAAACAGCCATACGGGTCTCGTAATAAATTTACATTTTTTTTTAAATTAAGACACCTAAGTACAACTTGACATAGAATATTCACAAAATTACAGCATATGGAGAAACCACAAATGTTTATGTTTAAGCTATTTTCGTCTGAGCCGTGATTTAAATAAACATTTGTGCAGATACAATGCAATGATGCAAAATATGCATTCTTTTAGTGAAACAGGATCTAAAGACACATCTAAAAATGATTGCAAATTTGTTAATTTCTTTAGTTTTTAATATATGCATACAAAATTCTTAAAACATTGTATAAAGTTGTAGGAAAACCTTTTGGTGTCGTGAGACACTGGGTCAAACAATACTATTCGTGTTTGCATTCCACAACAGAATCCAGCTTTATTGTAGTTATGGGTATTGTGGAATGCATTGACATTTACTTTTTCCAAAGTTAAGGATGACTGATTAAAACTTTGATCAACAGTAAACCCCGTCTACCCTTATACATACAACGATAGCTACAATCAGCAACAGCAAAATGACTTCGGACCAACGACGGTCGACGAATACGGCCGCGTAATCCCCCAAGAGAACCACTACCTCCCTGGACAACCCAACCAAGTAGACCAGCCCGACTGGTGGTATGATCCACAGAAGGTTTTCACTAGGATGTTCAACTTTGTAAGTACCAAATAATTCTAAGTTTTGCTGATAAATATTCAAGACCAGTAGAACTTTAACTGTCGTTGTACAGGCATTGGTACCATGGCAGGTCTAAAAGATAGAAAGAAAAGTTCAACATATGTGTATGTACATTGGTGGTGTGATGTAGCATTGCTTTTGTTATGATTAAATTTTGTAACACACACCTAATGTTCAAAATTTAAGTTAATTTTTTTATCTTGCTGTACTACTTCTATATAAATAAAAAAATGCTTGTAAAGATTTGACTTAACATGTCTATTTTTAAAATGTTCTTTGATTTTGCAAAAGTACTATTTGTTGTGCAGGATGAAAAGTACCCATTCTGGATGCCGAAGCCAGACCCCACACAGTATGCGATCGAGCACAGCAACAACCCAAACCCGAATTACAACACGTACACCACCACCAGTTCCTACAGTGGCTACTACAACAATCCTAACTATGACCAACTGCCCTACCTGAGATTTGTAAGTAAAACCTATATGTACGGGCCTGTTGGTGTAGTGGTTAGTGACCCTGACTGCTAAGCTGGAGTTTGTGGGTTCGATTCCCACCCAGGAGAAATATTGTGTGATAAGCACGGCCATTTGTTCTCTTCCTGGGTGTAATTTATCTATAATATGTATTTAAAAATATATATGTATCTATCAGCAGTCCAGTTACCAGTAAAATTAAAATAGTACAGGCTCGGCCTAGTTTGGGATCAGACAGCCTTGTGTGAGATGGGTCCAGTTATTATTATTATTATTGTAATTTATCTGACTGCTCCAGAAGTAATAAGAAATTTTAAAACCTGTCGAATGGAGTGCCAAAATAAAGGGTATCTTTCTACTTTATAAAATTTTCACACAGTCAGGTATTGTTTTTTTTTTCAATAATTTGATTGTTCTATTCATTTTTTATTTCAGTCTTGCAATAAGGCTGGTTATGAATTGCGTATACCATTGACATCCACATCCTTCCAATTATGGTTTCCAGTTCAACGGTACCTACAACTTTAAATACCCGATGTCGGAACTCGCCCAGCTTGTACCAACGTTGGACGGCGTCGAGGTCATCATTACAGCATCCGTAGGAGATCCCTTCTTAGATGATGTTATAGAAGGCTACAGTATCGCGAGGATTTTTAATTCGTCTCTCGCTGTCACTTTCCTTGGAGGGACGCCTCAGGTCTTCAAGCCATCTATGCCATTTGATGTTTACGTGAGTATTAATTATACTTTGTGAAAATGTTGTGTGTTTCGAACGCTTCGAAAGTTTTTTATAACGATTCCAAAAAGATTTTTTAATGAAAAGAAGATATATCGGGTCCTGGACCACTGACCTTTATTATACAAGTACGGTAGACTGCATAATATGTCGTTATCAAATAGAAACCATTTGAAATTCGCCATTTTGGGGCTGATAACCGTGTGAAGTTCCGTGGAACTAATATTAGGGATGAGACGTAACTATCGATAAAAAGTACTGCATCACTATTGATATAAATTCTTTAGTAAATTCACATTTCACGTTCGTTTATATAGTACCTCATTTTCAGATGGCAGTATCTTATCACGACGGTTCCCCCTTACCCGAGTGGCAGGCCAGGGGAGTGTCACTTCAAGTGCATGTACAAATAGAAGGAAGAGGAGGAGGTATTGAACCTCAGCAGCCGCAGCTAGTTCCTGGGCATGATGCTGTGTGGCATCTTAAATTGGACTTGTATAAGTTGTTGCGTGAGTGTTAATACTTTAATATTATTATTAAGAGTTTCATAACCCTCTTTCATGGGACACTTATGACGTAGTACATAAATAATAGATAACTGTATAATTCATCCGAAAGAATTTAACTCACTAAGGCAAGTCACGACATATAAGTAAAGGAATGATTGGTTACGGTTCTTGTATCTCTTAAGTTGCAGGTGTCTTATAGGTAATCACTAAAAACCCGTTTATATTCCATAGGACTACAAAACGATCCGAACTACCGCGATGTGCTGAACAGCATCACCGGCGTGCGTCTGAGCGCGCAGCTGGTGGACGCGGTGGGCAGCCACGCCAACGCCGACGTGCACTTCATCGCGCACTACAGCGCCAACAACCAGCACATACGCATCGCCACCAGCACCACTGACGCCAGGGTCAGTCGCTCTACTGTCCGGTCTCGTCCCGTCCCGTCCCGTCCCGTCCCGTCCTGTTCCACTGGCTACACCGCACTACTATCGTGTTATTGTCATGATATTGTTTTTCACGAATATTTTCTATAAAATAAATATTAATACGCAGGTCGGCGAGTACGTAATCTTCCACGTGCAGAGTAACTTCTACATGGAGTATTTCAACTACGTGGTTATGTCCAAAGGCATCATTCTTACTAGCGGACAGGAGAACATGCAGGTATAGTGTTTGTAGACTTTTTAGAAATTACCTTGATATTAATTAAAAAAACGATTTAGTCAAATAAATCCTGAATGTAATTATTACTAATCACAAGTATAAAAGTTTGTTTTTCAAGGTTTTATAGTGCTATTTAAATATTTGACACTTCATTTTATTGTTATATTAGTAGTAGGACCAAATGTTTATATGATTACAAATATTTGTTTGGGCGTTTTCTATGTATAATATGTGTGTATTTACAAAAAATAAGTATTTAAAAGTAAATAAGTATTCTACCTAAGTCAATGTAATGTTTATTTTAATGTTTTATGCTTTGCTTAGTTTAATGTTAGATATCTGAAAAAAATCATGAGACACCATGCATTGGTGGAAAATGACACACAACGCCATCTAGTTTCAAACTAAGCAGAGCTTATACTATGAAAGCTAGATTGACTGATAGAATACTTAGATAGTTTTTGGAATGTGGGAGAGTTACGGTGGTGACTCGTTGCAGGAGGGCGTGCGCACGTTCGCGGTGACGGTGTCGGCGGAGATGGCGCCCGTCGCCACGGCGCTCGTGTGGAGCGCAGACCGGCGCGGGGCCGTGCTGGCCGACTCGCTCACCTTCCCCGTCAACGGCATCTCGCGCAACAACGTGAGTGCCCACCCACCTAATTACTCGTACCGACACTTGCGACACTTAACTATTTCATTAGATCTTGTCACTTTGAAGGGTATTTCAAAGTTCCGCTCCACAATATTTTTTTCAAGTACTATAAACAACCTTTGTATACCTATGTTTCACAATAAAAATTGATTGCTTGATTAAAATCCTACGAACTAGACCCAACTAAATCTGTATTTGAGACTAGATTTTAAAAATTATCAAATATTTATTCATAGTTATCTCTATTCTTCACCATCATCAATCATCGGCATTCTCTAACAGTCCACCGCTGGACATAGGCCTCTCCTTAGAAAGGAGGTTTCTTCACCATATTGAAATGCTATTAAGAAAATTCGTGTCAAACCAGATCCTACTCGTTAAAAAAGACATCCGCATAGAAACAGTCTGTTTTAATGAGTGGTGTTCCCCAGTTCACGGTGTTCATCAACAACCGCAAGCACCGCACGGGCGAGCGCGTAGAGGTGGCCATCTACGGCGAGCCCGGCTCCTACGTGGGGCTGTCCGCGCTCGACAACGCCTTCTACACCATGCAGGCCGGCAACGAGCTCTCCTACGCCAAGGTACCCATTGCTTACATACATCTACGGCGAGCCCGGCGCCTACGTGGGGCTGTCCGCGCTCGACAACGCCTTCTACACCATGCAGGCCGGCAACGAGCTCTCCTACGCCAAGGTACCCATTGCTTACATACATCTACGGCGAGCCCGGCGCCTACGTGGGGCTGTCCGCGCTCGACAACGCCTTCTACACCATGCAGGCCGGCAACGAGCTCTCCTACGCCAAGGTACCCATTGCTTACATACATCTACGGCGAGCCCGGCGCCTACGTGGGGCTGTCCGCGCTCGACAACGCCTTCTACACCATGCAGGCCGGCAACGAGCTCTCCTACGCCAAGGTACCCATTGCTTACATACATCTACGGCGAGCCCGGCGCCTACGTGGGGCTGTCCGCGCTCGACAACGCCTTCTACACCATGCAGGCCGGCAACGAGCTCTCCTACGCCAAGGTACCCATTGCTTACATACATCTACGGCGAGCCCGGCGCCTACGTGGGGCTGTCCGCGCTCGACAACGCCTTCTACACCATGCAGGCCGGCAACGAGCTCTCCTACGCCAAGGTACCCATTGCTTACATACATCTACGGCGAGCCCGGCGCCTACGTGGGGCTGTCCGCGCTCGACAACGCCTTCTACACCATGCAGGCCGGCAACGAGCTCTCCTACGCCAAGGTACCCATTGCTTACATACATCTACGGCGAGCCCGGCGCCTACGTGGGGCTGTCCGCGCTCGACAACGCCTTCTACACCATGCAGGCCGGCAACGAGCTCTCCTACGCCAAGGTACCCATTGCTTACATACATCTACGGCGAGCCCGGCGCCTACGTGGGGCTGTCCGCGCTCGACAACGTCACCATTTGGCTGCACGGATGGTGTAGTGGTTTAAGCGGTGGCGGTCAGTCCACGCATCTTACTATTAGGCTGAGTGTTGTGGGTTCGATTCCCACTTGGGACGACACTTTGTGTGATCCACAAATTGTTGTTCTGAGTCTGTTCTTTTTGTCCGTATCATGTATGTTTGTAAAGTCCCCCGCGACACTGGATATATTCCTAATGCGGGAGTTCTCTTTTATAGAAATAAGAAAAAAGAAAAGAAAAAAAACCTACATAACCAACAAGTTTGACTATACATATAGTAAAAATATTGTTCTGAATACTTTGTTTTTTATTTGTATATTTTTAAATTTGTAATAATTAAGTGGATATTAGTAGCATTCTTCATCATTGTAATGTTATTATAATTACTGACATGTTTTTGTTGTTACCATCCAAAGATCGAGGTTGGGTCATTCGTTGATTATTGATTACAATAAAGCTCCATTGGAAAAAAATACATATTTTGGTATCCAATCCACCAATAAACAAACATCGAAGAACTTAATAGTTAACTGTTTTGACTGTTTATACATATCTAAATATTAGTCCAGTTGTTATCGCCCAGTCTACAGCATTATGTTTTCTATGTACAGGTGATAAGAAAAATGTCATACTTCGACGAAGCCACTAACGGTACGTTCGCGTACACGTGGCGTTCGCACGCCGGGGACGCGGACCAGCTCGTCTACTTTCCTTCCTCCACCTTCGGCATAGACGCCAATAGAACCTTTGAGTGAGTGCAGTACTATTATAATGTTGAACTCTGAAACAGCCGCCGCTAGACTGTAATGTTCAAAATTGGTCAAGGCCTTTGAAATTATTTTTAAGAATAGCCAGCGTCACCTGCCTCTAATGTTTGCAACAATTTTAAATAAGTTTGACTAAAGCTCCTTTCTTATACGGCAAATTCATGGAATGTTAATTACACAGATACGCGGGTCTTGTGGTGTTCAGCGACGTGCCGGTGACCCGCCGGTACAGCAACTGCAACTCGTCTCTAGGGCTCGGAGAGTGCCTGGAAGGGGGGTGCTACTCGCTTAGCAAGCGCTGTGACGGTATTTTCGACTGCTCCGATCACACGGATGAGGCAAATTGTAAGTTATATTTAGTGCTAATTTGTAGTACAAATTCGTAGTAAAAAGTAACCTTAATTATATAAAAATGGGTGTACGTTTATTTTTAATGAATACGTTGTAATGACACAACTTCGATGGTTGTTAAAAAGCCTAGAAACTAAATTACCGATCACGACACTTAATAACTTCACCGAATATTTAAAAAACGATATAAAAAATTGTTTTAGAATATAAAGTATATCTGGAGTATAAAACTAAGTTTTCTGCATTAATTAATGCTTGAATATCTATATACTATCGACTACGTATATAAGCGATATCTTTAATCATGACAGTATTTTTGTGGAATGTGCATAATTTGGAAAAAATTAAAATCAGAAACTTGCTACGGTGACACATTGTCGGCAGGACTTAAAGGGAGATATTTGTCACACATATGTATTATTGGTAAAAAGAAAGAGCTTATGTTTTAGTGTATACATGTTTTAGATAAACAGTTTCGAACATAACTTTAAGACATACAGACATCAAATTCACTTGTACGGACAAGTGAATTTGACGTCAGGTGACCTAGTGTGAGTTTATTTCCTTCCAGTCGAATGGAGAGTGAGTTGATGTGTAAGAAACACACAAGGCCCTCTGTATGTCACATAGTTAGGTTCGAAACAGTTTGTTTGTTAACATGTATGCAGCAGTTGTGATATTTGCGTTGTACACTGTGTAGGCGAGCACGACCCGTCGTTCTCGCTGCGCCACTTCCGCAAGTTCCGGTTCAACCGCGTGCAGCGCCAGTACGACAACGTGTGGCTGTGGCGCGACGTCAACATCGGCCCGCACGGCCGGTACGTCTTCACCGTCGACGTGCCGCAGGTAACACCATCCCTACATACATACATACATACATACATACATACATACATACATACATACATATACATATGAATACATACTATGAATTACTCTTGCGTAAAACACCTCAGTTTGGAATATACTTTTAAGGAATTGTATTTTGGATTATTCATAGTCAATGTCCAGTTTTAAAAGCTAGTGATTTTGTGAATTACAACTTTCTTATGAAATTTTCCTATTTTCTCAGGAACGGGTAGACCTAGCATGTTGAAATTTATACCAGATACTGAGATCTATGGTCCCTATTAGGTGTATAAAAATCAAGGTCCTGAGTCAACACGATAAAAATATATGGGCAAATTTCGATTTTCGGGAAAACTTGTAAGTACCAAAATTTCCTTAATTTTCAACTTTTTTTATTTTTCAGAATTTTCTCTTTACTTATGCTGTAAGGCCTTGCTTTTAACCAAAATTGACAATTCTAGGTCAACCGGAAGTACCCTATAGGTTTTGAGTCAAAAACCTATATGATAGTTCCCGTTGACCTAGAATCACGAAATTTGGCAAAAAGAAACGTCTCACAGCACAAATAAGGGAATAATTCTAAAAAAATAAAATAAGTTTAAAATTAAGATAAATTTTGGTACTTACAAATTTTCGCAAAAATCTACGTAAAATCTGGGTAAGGTACGGTACCCGCGGCGCAAGAGTTCAACTCGCACCTGACCGGTTTTTTTAAACTAAATTATTCTATTATAGATACCAGCACACTGGACAGTATCGGCCTTTAGTATGTCTCCGAGTCTCGGATTGGGCATGCTGACGGAACCTAAACATGTAAGTACGGTGACATCTCAATCGACCTATCTAGTAACTGCCACCTCTGTACCATAAAATGAAAATTCAACGTCTATTAAATACTATAAACTCACCAATTGTCCAAAACGACGGGCCTGTTGGTCTAGTACCATGACTGCTAAGCCGGAGGTCGTGAGTTCGATTCCCACCCAGGACAAATATTGTGTGATGAGCATGGTCATTTGGTCTGTGTCTGGGTGTAATTTATCTATAATATGTATTTATTTAGAAGTATATAAGTACGTTAATCAGCAGATTGGTTACCATAGTACAGGCTCTGCCTAGTTTGGTACCAGACTTCCGAGATGTGTGAAGAAGTTATTATTATTAATTCTAATAGGAAAGGTCTTGACCTCGAGTTCCTTTTGGTGTTAGTAAGACATCAGACCCCTTCACAGAATTAGGTTTTGGTATGGCAAAAATCTTTTAATAATAACCTGTGCGTGCAGTACTCGGGAGTGCTGCCGTTCTTCATCAAGGTGGAGGGGCCGGATCGCTGTCGCCAGGGCGAGCAGGTGGGGCTGCGTGTGGTCGTGTTCAACTACCAGGCGCAGGACATCGAGGCCGTCGTCGTGCTCTCCGCCTCGCCCGACTACAAGTTCGTACACGTCGAGGAGAACGGCATCGTGAGTTCTACCAACTACTATCATCTGATCAAATAATCTAGTTTTTTAGTTTACATTTTAAGTCTTTATCACATCTATTGTTAAACATAGATGGTACTATAGTTAAACCGCCGTAAGCTTGGCCCTCCTGATGGTTTGGGGGACGCGGGGCGGTGGCGCATTCAACCAATTAGCTAGTGCGTCGCTGTCCGCCGGCAGTGACTGATGTGAAAGCATGGCTGTATGTGTTATTTTTCTTAGGACTGCTACACACGGTATTATTTTACAATATGGATAATCTGCCGACTCTGCGTCACAAAAAGATTTAAAAACTTGAAGTTCGGCTTACAGAGGTTCTACTGTTAAAGTTCTAATAAAGAATATTTATTATTTTACCTAATTTTTAAATTGTATCTGAATTTAATTTACACGATGAAGATAAGGTGCTTTTATTAAAATTATTTTACAGTATTAAATTTTACAATTAATCATAAAAACTTACAATACACTGACATTATAATACATGGAAATAACTTCGATTTTTATTACATCGTGTGTAGATTAAATCTCAAACAAATAAATCTGAAGATATCGAGTTAGTACATCGTGTCATGTATAGCCGAGCGCATCACCCGCCCCGGGTCCCGCAAACCATCAGGAGGGCCAAGCTTACGACGGTTTAACTACACCTAATCATTACACGCTCAGTACCTACAATTTATTTTAACTCTGTATAGATCATAGAGATAATATAATAGAGGGAGCGAACTGTATATTCCTCTGTAAGTGATAGCGTACGAGCGTTAGACAAAGAAAGAATATTGTTTTGGTCTTACACCTCTCTCTCCTCTCTGCACTGATTGGCTGATACTGAATAGGACATTTAAAATGGTCAGTTAGTGACAAGAGCAGAGAGACAGGACTGTCGAATGTTTTTATTGATGGTGAATGTTGTGACAGGTCCGTTCGTACAACCCGCGCACGTCGTTCGGCGAGCATCAGTTCTTCGTGTACATAGTGTCGGGCGACGCGGCCACCGTGTACGTGCCCGTCGTGCCCACGCGCCTCGGCGACGTGCACGTGCACCTGCACGCCTCCACGCTCATGGGCCAGCACCACTACGTCAAGAAGATCTGCGTCGAGGTACGTACTCACGGGGATTACTTTGCTTGCTATAGCTTCAATAAATCGAGAAAGTTCGAGATCGTTCTTTATAATATTTGTTAATGTTACTACTAAATTATACTTACGTATGGCCAAAAATTTCAAGCAATTTATTTACTACAGGCGGATGGTCTACCACAATACCGCCACCAGTCCGTCCTGCTGGACCTATCGAACCGTGCGTACGTGTTCCAATACATGCACGTGAACGTGACAGAGTCGCCCATCATCACGTACGAGGTGGACCGCTACTACGTGTACGGCTCCAACAAGGCAAGGATATCCATTGTGGGTGATGTCGTCGGACCACTGTTCCCCACCATGCCCGTCAATGCTACCAGTTTGTTGGATTTACCTATGGTGAGAATAACTTACACATCATAGAATAATACTGATTTTTCATTAACTATAATTTTTCAAGTACAGCACACGACATTAAACTAAATAGTTTTAAATGTGTCTTGATTGTTAAAGTATTTATAAATATTTTAATTGCCATTTAATATGGACTTTCGTTCAACAATTTAATTCTTGACAGAGGAAGGTAAAGAAGATAAAACCAAAATTTTTTTTTGTTATGAATTTTATGAGTATAAATATGTATGTGTATTTGTATATATATATATATATATTTGTGTGTGTGTATATTTCTTATATTATATATATGTAGTTATCATCTCTTTTATATTCGTTAGTAATTAACCTGAAAAACTCATTTCACCATCAACTACTACTATCTCTCCCGAACATTTTGATCCATCCTAAGGTTGCCTGGAAGAGATTGCTCTTAGCAATAAGGCCGCCCTTTGTACATTGTATATCTAACACTTTCATGTAACTATCATGCTTCTTGTAAAATGGTGTACAAATAAAGAGTTCTATCTATCTATCTAATGATTCACTTGGCAGTAATTTTAATAGTACTACTACTCCTTGTTACTATAACTATCTTGTACGATTCTAAAGTTGAAAGAATGTAATGTAATGTTCCCCAGGACTCAGCTGAGCAGAACATGTTCAGTTTTGCTGCCAACATGTACCTGACATTATACATGCGTCTGATCAACCAACGCAATCGTACTCTGGAGAGAGATGCATTCTATCATATGAACATTTTGTACCAACGGCAGCTGTCTTTCATGAAGCCTGATGGGTCATTCAGCTTGTTCAGGAGCGACTGGTAAGCATATTTTTTTTTTTCAATAAATTCTGTATAAATAGCCTAATAATAACAATATTTAACTACTATTTTCAATAAATAGCCTTTTATTCAGACACAAAAAGAATATTTACAAAATTATAATAAATTTACGAAAATCAGACAGAGTACGAAACAAAACGATCAGGAATCGCACTAAAATACAAAATGTTACAACTACAATACGGAAACTGAAATGGCAATGGACAGGACATATGATAAGAGGCATCGAAAAGTGGAACAGAAGCATAGTGTTTTGGTACCCTAGAAATAGGAAAAGAAAACGAGGTAGACAGATTCGAAGGTGGGAAGACGAGATAGGGGCGATAGCAGGAAAACTATAGACAAGGAAAGCTCTAAACCGAGTGGAGTGGAAGGAAATGGAAGAGGCCTTTGCCAAAGTTGGGCAAACGTCATCGACTCAACAGAGTCGTTAACTTAAGATGTGGTTTACATACATATAACATAATTTACACTATACGAAATCGAACCCACAACTTTTGACTTCGCAGTTAACGCCAAAGCTAGAGTCAAAATTATCAACTCTATGTAGTTTTGATATACATTTTTTGTTTCTGTCACCAGGAATCAGTCTGCGTCAAGTGTATGGCTGACGTCCTTCTGCGCGAAGATCTTCCAAGATGCGTCCTTCAATGAGTGGGAGAACTTTATATATATAGATCCGGAGGTATGTCATCATATTATTAGTGATTACTATAGTGTTGGCCGGTATTTAAGTTAATACCAAATACTGATTTAAAATGTAGCTTTTAATTCGTATACTGAGTACACTGCAGCTTAAACTTGAGCAACAAATTAACTCTGTTTTTTACTTCTTTACCATACATATTTTCATATAATTGTGAAATTATCATAGAAAAAAAATTAGGTAAAATAAATTATAATTATTATAAAATTTTATGTTATTGTACAAATTTCTTAGTCTAATCTTTAAAAATAGATATAGAAGCAAGCTACCGCATTGGCAATTATCCCTATAAAATCCCCACTAACTTTATAAATATACGATTAACATACATAAACTTATTTTGTACATAATTATCACAGAGGGAATTAAACCCATAACTAAAAAAGAAATATACAAAAAAAATCTAGCGATGGTAGTTAAAGGGGAACTTCAATTACGTTACCATCCTGACAGGCAATTATTTATTAAATTATAAATAATGTACAGGTGATATCTATGGCGGTATCATGGGTGCTGGACCACCAGACTCCGGAAGGTGCATTCTACGAGGTGACTTGGCTGCCGAACCGGAACGATAACACTACCATTGTGGTGCCCAAGAACAGTTCCTTGTATAGAGAAGCGTTTGGACATGCCGGCTGGAATGATCCCAGTGCTGTAGAAGTGAGTAACATTAAATAATAACAAAATGGAATGCGCCACTGATCTACTCTTCCTTGTTTGGTTAATGAATGAAGCAACGGCGATACCAACCGTGTTGGTATCCCCGAATTCCACTTTTTTATGGTTCAGGGAGCAGACGGGTTACTTCATGATAAGTCAGTGACTACCGCCATCCATAGACATCTGCACCTTAAAGGCACAAGTGCGTAGGTCCTTTGAGTTTCCACTACCCAGAATCAAGGGGGTTGGGTTGATGCTCCTTTAAGTTCACTCCACTTAGTTAAAAACAATGATAGAATTGCTGTACTCCGGCTTTCTGTGAGGTTTTGGTATCCAGTTGAGTTGGCCCATACTTGCCAAAGCACATAGCAGCATACGGTGCTAATTATTGAGCAGAAGACCAATTGACGATGGTAGAACCAGACTGATGTAAGTCACAATTTTATCTTCTTGAGAAAACTAGGGCAACATGTTTGTCCTAGATCTGAGGAAAGGAATGCCTCATAACTATTAAATATTTATTCAAATGATTCCTAACATGGCAACTAATTACTAACTAATTAATAGCAACACAAATTTCAGTTTACACAAAAATAAATCACTTGAATCACCAAAATTATCATGACAATGGCAGTCAGAAAGCCATTCATTCTACAGTGAAAAATATTGAATTCTCCAGGAAAATATTAGTATTAGCACTTAGATCACTGGTATTAAAGTTTTTTTTCGTGCCTTTATGACAAACGCTAATTTGAAAAAAAAAACCACTTGGATCAGTCTGGTTCTACCATCGTCAATTATCGTATTAAAAGTTCGGTCACAATTCAGTTCCGATCAACTTTTGATCTCACAACTGTCATAAAAGGTATTTTCGTAGTAAAGTATTAAACATCCAACGTTGACTGTTATGTGATTATATCATATTGTAACCGAAAATTGAATTAATAATCTGCAATTCTTAGTTAATACTTTACCATTCGAGATCGAGTGTTGATCGAAAATTGTGACCAAACTTTGAATACTAGAATTGGCCATCAGATATTGCTTACGATTGAATATGTTACGATTCAAACGATCAATAACATTATTTGTGTTTTGCATTGTTATTAGGTTAACAACACTATAGTAATGCAACGTAATATCACGCTCACCGCTCAAGTGGTCATCACTTTGGAGACTGTCAAGAATCTTAAAGACGTTGGTGTTAGCGAGGTAAGTTCAATAATGTGCTAATAGTCTTAAGTATATGTAAATCGGTTTATAATTCATACACACATTCACCTATAAAGAGTATTTGAACTGACTCCGTTTCAGGATTTATCATGACAACTCATTGGTTGAATTGTAAAGGGAAGTTTTTATTATAACTACATCTTACAATAATTTTTGAGTTGATATAATTTAGCAAATTAATAAACGTGACGGAAAGTTTATGCAAGAATTATATAAGCTCTTCGGGTACAGTAAAACACAAAATTAACGAGGGCGCCACCTTCGCTGATGTGGCAACCCAGCTAGAACGACTCAACTCGTTTGGATACTTGATTTTATTATTTTTTAACCTAAGTTTGAATTTTTATTACTGTGTAGTGACGGATTAAGAATACGGAATGTCACTACCCCAATTCATCCCGTGGGTGTCGTAAGAGCCGACTAAGGGCGCAAAACAACGCAGGACACCAGCACTGCAAAAAGAAGGAAAACTTGACACAAACCCTATACCAACCCGTTTGGCCAGCGTGGTATAGTAGGCCAAAACCTCCTTTCTAAGGAGAGGCCTATGTCCAGCAGTGGACTATTAAAGGTTGTTGATGATGATGATGATATCGAAAGTTTGTTGCCACCTGCAAATAGTCGTGTGCAAGCATTACATTCTGTTTGATAGCCAATGTTGTCAGAGAATATGCTGGGGATAAGGCATTTAAAAGGTTTATTTGAAGGTGACTCATTGATATGTATTTGACCGGTGGATAGAAGAATAAATAACAGTTTAGCGGAGGTACAGTTATTACTTACTTATAAAATAATACAGTTTCTACGAAATGCAAGTAGGCTCGCGCAGTTATTTTGAGTGTGACATAATTATAATATTAGCTTGTGTGTGTAGGGGTTAAGCGCGCGCGTGTCGTCGGCGCAGCAGCGCGGCATCCGCTGGCTGGAGCGGCACCTGCGCCTGCTGAGCGAGGTGCGCGAGGCCTACGCGCTGGCGCTCGTCGCGCACGCGCTCACCTTCAGCAAGGCGCCCTCCTCCGAGCACGCCTACCGCCTGCTGCTGCGCCTGGCGCGCTACGAGGGTAAGTGCTCCCCGCGCTCTCCTGCAGCAGGCGCCCCCCCCCGAGCACGCCTACCGCCTGCTGCTGCGCCTGGCGCGCTACGAGGGTAAGTGCTCCCCGCGCTCTCCTGCAGCAGGCGCCCCCCCCCGAGCACGCCTACCGCCTGCTGCTGCGCCTGGCGCGCTACGAGGGTAAGTGCTCCCCGCGCTCTCCTGCAGCAGGCGCCCCCCCCCGAGCACGCCTACCGCCTGCTGCTGCGCCTGGCGCGCTACGAGGGTAAGTGCTCCCCGCGCTCTCCTGCAGCAGGCGCCCCCCCCCGAGCACGCCTACCGCCTGCTGCTGCGCCTGGCGCGCTACGAGGGTAAGTGCTCCCCGCGCTCTCCTGCAGCAGGCGCCCCCCCCCGAGCACGCCTACCCCCTGCTGCTGCGCCTGGCGCGCTACGAGGGTAAGTGCTCCCCGCGCTCTCCTGCAGCAGGCGCCCCCCCCCGAGCACGCCTACCGCCTGCTGCTGCGCCTGGCGCGCTACGAGGGTAAGTGCTCCCCGCGCTCTCCTGCAGCAGGCGCCCCCCCCCCGAGCACGCCTACCGCCTGCTGCTGCGCCTGGCGCGCTACGAGGGTAAGTGCTCCCCGCGCTCTCCTGCAGCAGGCGCCCCCCCCCCGAGCACGCCTACCGCCTGCTGCTGCGCCTGGCGCGCTACGAGGGTAAGTGCTCCCCGCGCTCTCCTGCAGCAGGCCCCCCCCCCCGAGCACGCCTACCGCCTGCTGCTGCGCCTGGCGCGCTACGAGGGTAAGTGCTCCCCGCGCTCTCCTGCAGCAGGCGCCCCCCCCCCGAGCACGCCTACCGCCTGCTGCTGCGCCTGGCGCGCTACGAGGGTAAGTGCTCCCCGCGCTCTCCTGCAGCAGGCGCCCCCCCCCCGAGCACGCCTACCGCCTGCTGCTGCGCCTGGCGCGCTACGAGGGTAAGTGCTCCCCGCGCTCTCCTGCAGCAGGCGCCCCCCCCCGCGCACGCCTACCGCCTGCTGCTGCGCCTGGCGCGCTACGAGGGTAAGTGCTCCCCGCGCTCTCCTGCAGCAGGCGCCCCCCCCCGAGCACGCCTACCGCCTGCTGCTGCGCCTGGCGCGCTACGAGGGTAAGTGCTCCCCGCGCTCTCCTGCAGCAGGCGCCCCCCCCCCGAGCACGCCTACCGCCTGCTGCTGCGCCTGGCGCGCTACGAGGGTAAGTGCTCCCCGCGCTCTCCTGCAGCAGGCGCCCCCCCCCCGAGCACGCCTACCGCCTGCTGCTGCGCCTGGCGCGCTACGAGGGTAAGTGCTCCCCGCGCTCTCCTGCAGCAGGCGCCCCCCCCCCGAGCACGCCTACCGCCTGCTGCTGCGCCTGGCGCGCTACGAGGGTAAGTGCTCCCCGCGCTCTCCTGCAGCAGGCGCCCCCCCCCCGAGCCCGCCTACCGCCTGCTGCTGCGCCTGGCGCGCTACGAGGGTAAGTGCTCCCCGCGCTCTCCTGCAGCAGGCGCCCCCCCCCGAGCACGCCTACCGCCTGCTGCTGCGCCTGGCGCGCTACGAGGGTAAGTGCTCCCCGCGCTCTCCTGCAGCAGGCGCCCTCCCTCCGAGCACGTCTGCCGGTGGAGCGGCAGTTACGTCAACATACTAGATTATAATAAAAAATGAGTTTGAATTGTATTATTTTTATAAAATTGTCTATAAATCTAGAATTTAAGCATACAAATTTCAATGCTATAAACTTCTATTTTGTTTGATTCGTAAGGTGGCCTTGTCTACTGGGGTAAAGAACCGGTCCCCCAACCTCCTTACAAGATGGAGAATCAGAAACCGTTCTTGCTGCCTCGACTGCCGTATAAGTACGACTCTAACAATATCGCGGCCACGGCATACGCGCTACTCGCGTGCATGGACCATCAGGACAACAACGAACCCATCGTTATGTGGCTCAACGCGCAGAGGCTGAAGGACGGTGGCTGGGCGTCTACACAGGTATGAAGTTTCAGCACTTCCTTCTACATATAAGAAAGAAATATCATTATTTAATAGTTAAATATAGTAGTCAAGTAAACTATTGGCAAAGCTCGTAAAGCAGCTATTCTAGTAGAGCGCTAACGCTGATGAGTGCGCAGGACACGTACGTGGCGCTGCGCGCGCTGCTGGAGTACACGAACCGCAAGCGGCTCCGCGACGTGTCCTCGCTCAGCATCAGCGTCGACGCCGTGGCGCTGCCCGGCGCCACGCGCACGCTGCTCGTGCGCAACGACAACCTCGCCCACATGCAGTTCATCGACGTGAGTACCCCACCACACCTACACACATAGCATAACTTCACCTAGGGAGTACATACCTATAACATTTTTAGTTAAATTAATCATATCTTCAATTTTAACCATCCACAATAATCTTTACAACTATGAAATTGTCGACCTCGTTGCTGATTAACATTTAATATAATTATATTAATATAGAACATAATAACACTATGAAAACAATGAATTTAAACGAGTTTTTGGCTACTCATCGTTATCACTCAATATCCATATTTACTTAAACTAAATACACGAACGAACATAACAAACAAAACTGAATTTTAATTTTTTTCAGAATAATTTTAATTTTTACTGTGCTTATATCGTATTAAAAAATTTAGGACTTGCGTATCTTAAAACTAGTAATCTTCGTAGTATGTAGTATATTCGTGTCCATATTTATAGATCCAACACAACACTATATTTATCGTTTGTACTCGTAGCAATAAAATACCATTTAATGGTACTTGATCCATGTTCACTGACTATTAAATGCAAAAAATATTTAACTTGTTATTCCAATCATTCAAGTACTATTTTTCTTGAAATTTGAATAGAATCAAACGAATGCTTTTAATACAAGTTTGAATAGACGACGGAGTTCTGAGAACCTGCTCAGTTGAAGTGTAGGTTAAAAATACCTTTAAAAGAAACGAATAGAAGATACCTAATCGAAAGAGAATGTGTGGTCCTTAGATCCCCGAGGCGTGGGGCACGGTGAAGGTGACGGCTCGCGGCGCGGGCTACGCCATCCTGCAGATGTCGGTGCAGTACAACGTGGACATCGCGCGCTTCGTCACCCCCCCCGCCCGCGCGCTGCTTCTCGCTCGTGGCCTCGCACCACTTCTACGGACGGAACCAGTCGCACATCGAGTTCCAGGGCTGCGCCAGGTACTCCTTAATCACTTTATGTGTCACATCTTCCCTACATCTGGAAGAGTGGGTTCGTGCAAGGGACGGAGTTCTGTAATAGTTATAGCAATGCTTACTGTACTCGTTTTCCATTATCTTTGTTTTTCGATTCAAGTCATTTATTAAATCGTCAATAAGAGAGGCAATGGCCTTCCAATATTATCTCTTTCGTAATTAATTAAAACAAACAAGAATGATAATATTTCGGACATCTTACACACAACGCCATCTAGTTTTAAAATAAGCAGAGCTTGTACTATGAAAGCTAGATTGATTGATAGAATATTTATATTATTTTTTTGTAAAAACATACATATGATACATACAGAACACCCAAACTCCACAACAACAAACATTTGGTCAGACCCAGGCATCGAACCTGAGACCTCAGCACAACAGTCGCATACGCTACAGCTGCACCACCGAGGCAGTCAAAAACCATTGCCATATTATTTAAGCATACGAGTACGTAAAATTTCTTATATATGTTTTATTTGTTTGTGATTAGTTGGACGCTACTGGATGAGTCGCCCCGGTCGGGCATGTCGGTGCTGGAGGTGGGGGTGCCCACGGGCTACATGATCCAGCAGCAGAAGCTGGACGCGTACGTGCTCTCGCGCCGCGTGCCCACGCTGCAGAGGGCCAAGTACCTGCCCACCAAGATACTCTTCTACTTTGAATATGTAAGTATTTGTGATTTTAAATAAATGTAATCTTCATTGTGATCTCCCCAATCATTCGATGATTTATACTTGCCTGACTCACTATAGTTTAGTTGAGGAATAAAAACTAGTAATATACTAGCAAAATGCTAGACACGTGATGTCGAAAATAATTATTTTATTTGTAGATAGACTTGTTATTGGTCTAGTGGTTACTGACCATGACTACTAATAATTAAATTTGTTCTGTGTCTGAGTGTAATTTATCTATAATATGTGTGTATCCAAACTAATATCATAAATGCAAGTGTGTTTGTCTCTCTGTCTGTTACACTTAAACCGCTGAACCGATTTAGAAAAAAAATGGTATAGAGATAGTCCGAGCCCCGGGCAAAGATAAAGGGTAGTTTTTATTTCAGAAATCATACTTTAGGGGGGGCGGGTAAGGTCGTATGGGAATTAAGAACCGCTTAACCGATTTAGGTGAAAATTTGTATGCAGATACTTTGGTTTTTGAGGAAAGACACATGCTACTTTTCACCGCGATAACCGACATGGACGGAATCGCTGGCAAAAGCTAGTTTAGAAATATATTATCAGAAGACTGGTTACCATAGGTTCTGCCTAGTTTCGAATCAGATAGCCGTGTGAGGTTGTGACTATTACTTAAATAGTAAATAATTAATTGCATTTGGTACACAGTTGTCGCAAGAGCCGACGTGCGTGAACTTCACCATAGAGCGCTGGTTCCCAGTGGCCAACATGTCCAGATATTTGCCCATGCGAGTCTACGATTACTACGCACCAGGTAACATCATTTTGTTTGTAACGCCTTTTTATTCTTCTCTTCTGTTTCCTCTCTGTCTCTTCTGTCCTCTCTGTTTCCGTGGCAAAAGGAAAGAAAGATGTTGTTGAATGACATGGGGCAGAGAAGTTTATCTGATTTAAGATTGAATACTTATTTAATTAGTTAATTTCAAGTGTTATATGGGTGTGATGTTGGAAATGTTAGGTGGATGGTGGTTGCACCAGGGACTTCCTTTCTAGGGTATACCTGGTTCCCCGGCTATTAGTAACCGAGACGGCGTGCGGTTTTAGTCGGTTCGAGTCCGACATGCCACCGATAGGTATCCGAGGGGATTTCCGCACGGAAACAAAAAAAAAAAAAAAAGTGATATTTAAAATAAATATAAGTGTAGATACGTATTCACTGTGATGAATTTGAGAAGAGTGTGTTTTCTAGGAAATGGTGCGTAACATAATAGAGGCATATGCTTGGTAGAAGTTCATAGCATACAAGATATTGACTTAATCACTTGAAAACACAATATCAACCTTTAATAGTCCACTGCTGAACATATGCCTCTCCTTAGAAAGGAGGTTTTGGCCTACTATACCACGCTGGCCACACGGGTTGGTGATTATTTTAAACAAAATCAAGGCGGTCTTATCACGTCGTGTAACGTGCTATGTTGATATATTGTAGAGCGTTTCAACGAGAGCATCTTCGACGCGTTGCCGACCTACCTGCTCAACATCTGCGAGGTGTGCGGCTCGTCCCAGTGTCCCTACTGCGCCATCTACAACGCGGCCTCCCCCCCCTCACCGCTCACACTCCTGCGCCTGCTGCTGCTCGCTGCGCTGCTGCTGCTGCGGTAACCGTCGCACCATCAGTAGCTAGATACTTTCTCACCGTTTATATCCAGTGATTTTCTCTAAGGCAATAATTTTACTGCCTTTTACTAAGACACGCTTCCAGTATTATTTGTATTACAAATAATGTACTGAGATATAACAAAGAGAGAATAACCTAAAATTAAAACCTATTATCATTTTGATTAGTGTATAACACTTGTATATACGATCAACATTTTTATATAATTTTATTTTATATTGATGAATTCTTCCAGATCGAAAATCTCTTCAATGGTTACCTGTTTTGTACCCATAAATGATAATTATTCAAATATTTACAAAATGTTACTTGTGAGCCATACATTAACATATATTATTAAAACCACCGTCTAGGTACTAATTTGTATTCTTTATATGAATCTAAATTCATAAAAAAGTACATCAATATTTATTCAAATATATATATATATCACTTTAATATCCCAAAATTGAAAATCAAAAATTATCAAAAAGACAATTATATACTGATACAAGATTAAGTTAATTATTATTAAATTCCCTTAGCTTTTACTTTACAAGAAAACATTTCAGTCTTGCTTCAACTCCAAACCACTTAACTGAATCTCATTTTAATGATAAAAGAGTTAAAAAGTATTTAAACTGCTCAGTTTTAACAAAACGGACAATTTATTACAATTGTGAATTTCCCATTCCATGTAGAATAAGTAGAAACTCCGACTGTATTTCTCCATTCCAAGTTTAAATACTTAATGTAGTTAGTGTTCACGTAGTATAAGGGTAATAAAGCCGTGTGTCCCTTAGAATTTAATGCGTCCTTCCGAAAAATCTATTCTGTACAAATCCTACATTCATTCATTCGGTCATTTGGCAATAGTATATATATTTGTATCGATCTGTCAGCAGCTAAACCTGTTATTTCTGCATTCAAATGATTTAACAAATTCTGATCTTTTAGTAAATATTTGATGATCGAATTGACAGTTCACAGTAGATGCTAAAAAATGCAAAACCCGACCTCATTGGCTAACATTGCGACATTTACTTTTCAAAGGAATTGTTAGAGCACAAGTAGCAATAAGCAAAGCGTTTTACATTGTATATCCTTTCATTTATTTCAACATAATAGTTATACAATAACACTATTTTCGTAGCTGTCTCATACTGGATTTGTCTAACTAGATAGATCTTGCATCTGTAAAAAAGCTTAAAAATAACGTAAATAGTAATAAAGAAAGCAGCTCCTTTTTGTTAAACCTCAAAACGGTTTATTTTGTAGACGTTTCTATGATATAATAAGATGACTTTGAAAACTGTACTGTATAGTTTTTAGTTCATACTTAATTTCATGAGGACTATTAAACGATTTTTAACCATAGGACATCAGAGTGCCCCCTGCCCTGATAATGGATTGCGCATATTTCTTACTAGCTGAACCTGCAAACGTTGTTTTGCTATTAACATTATTTAATTTTTTTTTTTTAATTTCTTAAAATCCGTTCTTAGCTGACGTGTACTCGGTGAAAAGAATATTCCTACCGAATTTCAAGTCTTTAGCTCTAATGGTTCCAGAGATATCGTGATGAGTGACTATATACGTGGAAATCTCTTATATATATATTATTACCATTTCTGAATAATATTAATAGTGAAGTCTCTCATTAATTTCTTTCACCCCCGGTGCTGTCAGCATTTATATTTTATATCCTATTTTTGAAATCTCAGTCAATCTTTCAATATCTCTTATGTAGACATTAAAAATATATCAATTAAAATAGCATATCAAACTCCAATAAACAATTTGGATCAATTTGAGAGAAACATGTGATCTGAAATAGCATGAAATGCGTCCTTGCCTTAGTTGGTGTGTACTTACCGAGGCAATGTGCAGCTGCTCTGTGTAAATATAGTTAAGTGTATCTTTGTATTACGTAAAGTTTACCTTTAAATAGAATATATGAGCCATCGGTCGAACATGACACGTGTCAGACACAACAACTGCATTTAAAATTGTAGTGTGATTAAATAAAACTTTTAATTGATGGTAGGAAAATTAAATCTTAAATAGGAAGTTTAAAACATCTAAATATCAAGGCAATAAAATTTATATATATTTTTATTTACTCTAAAAAACATAATTTCAAGTTTAAAAATATTCTTGGTGAGATAAATATTTCGTGATTTGAAAAGATAGTGACTTATTTTAAGGAATTGATTGAAAAGTTTGACTTAGGGTAGAACAATGTATTTTTAATTGTAAACTATCTGTCATGATCCATGCAATAATTGTGTCAATCATAATTGCCTTATTAGTGGAGGACAATAGAATATGAATCGATATTTTATTGGAAATTATACATTGATTAGTAAGTATATAAGTAATAGCATAAGTTTTATATACCTGGCAACTAAAAGTATTTATTTCTTATGTTTATGAATTACTGAGTGAAAAATTCAATGTATTCGGTTGAGTTCAGATCATAGACATTATGTACAAAGATGTCCCGTCCAAATTATCAACAAATAAATTAATATATTATTAAAAAGTAAAACAAAGAATCTCATATCTATAGCGCTATGTGTGCATGTTTACTTATATAGGTTCCGTCCAAATTACCAATGACTGATTTTTACTTTTATGTATTTGTGTGTAATATTATCCTAAGTTGTTACAAAGCTTCTCTGTAGACTAGGAGAGTCGTTTAACGTCATAGATTTATTTCCAAATAAACATTTCAATAAATATGATTCGTTCTTATTTACCTATATAATACATTTATAGGCTCGCGATCCTTCGACCTTTATCTTTGTTTCAAAAATCCCTCCACTTCCACTGTACCTCAAAAATGGAAATCTGCTTTTATAACGCCAGTGCATAAAAAAGGGTCCTGCTGTCCCTAAGCTCTTCAAAGCACGGTTTCCTTAAAGGCAGGTCGAGTGTCACTAACCTAATAATCCTAAATATGGACAAGGCGCAACAGTACAGTGGATGTCGTCTACACACCCCACAGTAAATATTTTTACCGTACAGATCAGAGCATCCTAAAATCTAAACCTTTAAGCATCGGAATAAGAAGATTTACTTCGGTGGTTTTCCTCATATCTCGATAGTAGGTCTTGAGCAGTAGTCATCAGGAATTATATTTCTAGTTTGGTTTCCGTGCCTAGTGGGGTACTACTAGTCTATGTGAGCGACATTAGCCCTTTACTTCCAATGCTTGGAGGATTCTACTCTGTTTTGAGGATGACATGAAAAGTTTCTCATCAGTATCACATTTAGAAGACGTGAAGGATCTTCAACAAGACTTGGTTTCGTGATGAGGATCTTGTACTGTACTTATGTCAGAAGCCATCTCAAATATTACATAAGCCGTATTGAAAATGTGCAAAAACTTTAGAAGAATTCTATGTCATCGCCTTCAAATACCACTCTTCTGAAAATTATATACAAATGTGCAAGAAATTTCACGTTTAGTCTTTACTTACCGTCATCGGTTAGCAGATTGGTGTGCGTTACCCCAGCAAAATAATGTCGAAAATGGTCATTTAAACGTTATAGATAATTAGTTGCTCCCCTTCTGTAATTGTTAGGCACATTTTTAAATTTGTTTCACTTAAACTTTTTTAGTTATTTCAAAAAAACATTTCCTGCTGGGGTAACGTTTGAAACGTTACCGCAGCCAGACATTTTCTTTTTTAATTGTAATATTGAAATAAATTTTAGCTAAATAATTAGTTATCTGGACTAGGTAAATGTTACAACTTATTTGTTATTTGTATTTTCTTTGGCTGCGAAGTTATTCGAGATCCTGCTGGAGTAACGTTTGTGGGTTTGCTGGATCTCTGAAACGGGTAAGCGGATTGTAACCATCTTTTGTACATAACTTCTTAAGGATTAGTTTTAATTTGTTCGACAATAAAATAACAAAAATAATGGACCGTTTAAAAATTATTTAGGTAAGTATGAAAACACTTCAATACGTCCTAACACTTTAAATAAGACCTCTAAAGACTTACTTCAAACGTTATTCTATTGCTTGTAACTACCTTCAAATGTATACGAATTTTCGTAAGAATACAGTAAGTGACTAAAAAGTTATGATGAAATGTAGCTCTCCACGTTCACGATCACAATGTGTGCGGCCTTTTTTGGCCACCGATAAACCTGTGTGTGGATATATAAACTGAATGTTATGCCAATAATTAGTTGTTTAGTTCAGTTGTCTACCTGTAAAATTTCAGCGTAGTACATATAATAATTTACGAGATCATTAAATAAAAGTCATTAGAAGGTGCAAGACCGTGGTAACCCGACCATGTTTAGGTGGTTACAAAAAAGCGATCACCCATAATTATTTAGCTAAAATTTATTTCAATATTACAATTAAAAAAGAAAATGACTGGCTGCGGTAACGTTTCAAACGTTACCCCAGCAGGAACTGTTTTTTTGAAATAACAAAAAAAGTTTAAGTGAAACAAATTTAAAAATGTGCCTAACAATTACAGAAGGGGAGCAACTATAGTCTGTTTTTTAATCTCGTATAGTCTGTTTTTTAATCTCGTAGACTAAACTGACATTACGAGTGTTGTCAGTTTATTGCAATTCTTAAATAGTGATGTGGCACAACCGAAACTTAGCGTTAATAAAATCAAGTATCGTTTTTTTACAACAAGTTATCCTGAAATAATGTGTAGGTACTTATTTAAAACGTAATAATACAAAATTAATAATGTAAAACATATATTTTTAATTAAATAACTTAATTACAGGTATTCGCGTTAATCTGATTCAGATAATGACTCCATGTCTGAGGAATATTATGAGTCATCAGAATCGCCACCTACTTCTATGATAAACCTATCAGTAATGTCGTCGGTTATATGGCCCAGATGACACATTTGATCTTCAATTTTAATTACATGGACTACACAGTCTTTCCACCGCTGCGGGGTCACTTGACGAAGCCCTTCTTCAAAAAGGCTTCGTACTTCATTCATTTTGAATG